TTTGCTATTCCGCTTGCCTAGGCCCAGCCGTGTCAGGGAGCCAACGGTTTCTGAATTGTCAGGGAGCTGTCATTTATATTCATTTATCATTTGTGAATGGCAGTTATTCCAGTTATTTGCAGTTGGTTTTTGATGAATTATTGCGTCTTGTTGCTGATGGGTGCCAAGGGTTTCAGTGAATGTTGTGCCAGGGGCTTGTGCCAAAGGAGGAGCATGGAACTTTGCCATGAAGATGTTTGGTGCAATGCCAGCGAATGCCTTGCAACAGGATGAGCCACTTGAAAGATTTCAGAGCTTGAGACCAGGTTGCTTGAAAATGCAAAGATGTTGCCAGATGCGTTTGCTGCTGTTGAAGTCTGGGGACGTGTTATGACATGAGGATTGCCTACAGCAATGTCTTGTCGCAATCCTGGGAAAGTGCTCTTGGAACACTGGCAATGTTGCAGCTTGGGGGCGCCGAAGCCAACTTGAACCTTGCTGCAAATGTTGATCGCCGTGCTGTCGCACCTCGTCACACCTAGTCACACCTCTGGCGACCCGCCGCAGCGTCATTGAGTATATTGAGTCATTGCATGTGCTGAGGATATGCTGCAGCGCCACCACAGCATCCTGTTCCAAGAGTCAATTCTGGCAGTTGCTGAGCAGAAGTAATGGAACATGGTGGAACATAGTGGAACAGTGCCGTTGTCACCGTTGTCGGTCTTAGTTCAACATTGGAATCTTGTAGCAAATGGTAGCAGCTGCAGCAATAGCAAGTTGGGCCCTGCGTTTCGGGGTGGGATTGAGGCAGTCTGCAGGACTCTTCAGCTGGATTCAGGACAAGAAGGCACGATGGGTTGTGACCCGCTGTTGACTCAAAAATCGTGATCCACGGGATTCACTGGATCATCATGTGCCCTATGAACTATGAAAGTGGCCGTTTGGGGGACCACCATTTTTGCAGCAACTGATCTTGGGAATGTCTTGTGATTTTCAATGTTCAGCACCTGCAGGTGCTTCCAAATATCATCAGTTGCAACTCAGACACTTGGCAGCAGCTTCCCCTGCTGGATGTCGTGCGGCATATTTTATGATAATTAATTATACTGTAGACTGTGGTGTTGATTCCTCATATGTGATTAGGAAACACAACCTCACCCAAGTTGAGAAAAAACAAGAGAGAATAGTTCAGGTATGTTCAGGTCATGATGTCCTGATAGTTGATTGACGGTGATACCTTCCCAGACCTGGTTCAAGGGGAAAATTATTGGAACCCCCAGCGGTAGCAAGGTGCTGTCTGGATGTAGCTGGGAAGCTGCTCAGCAGCTGCTGGACACTCTTCCTTTGATGCATTTGGAATCGGACTTTGCCAGCTACACAGCTTCTTGTTTGCAAGAAACTGCAAGAAACTGCAAGAAACTGAAACACCTCAAGGGTATTTAGGCAGTGAATGGTGGTGAGTGGTGACTGGCTTCTTGATTATCTTGGTACATTTTGGTACATCTTGTTGCATTGGGTACTTGGATGTACTTGGGTACTGTACATGAGCTCCTTATGCTCCTTAAGCTCCACGGAGGCCCTTCTCACCTCCTTGCGCTCGTCCCAATGGGAATTAGCCGTGCGGGCGATCTCTGACATGTCCGGCCTTGAAGTGGAGGCACGGGTCATGATGACATCTTTTTCTATGGCTGATCTGGGCTTCGAAAAATGGAGGGATCCGAACGTTGTCATTTTTGGAAACGGACGGTTTTGAAGAAGCTCCGCCTCATATGTCTCTTCGAATTCGGATGTTCCGATGTTCCTACTCAGATTCGTGATGTGTCACGAAAGGCTTCGTTCGAATCTTTTTGTCCCGTTGGATATCGGCAGGTGGGCCCCACCATGTGCAATGCTGCCATCACTGCCTGCTCCAAAGGAGCGCAGTGGGATATGGCGCTGCATCTCTTGAACGCAATGCCAGTCAGACGGATTGCGCCAACTGCAGCCACTTGGCGCCGGTCCATGAGCCATGAGCAATGCCTGGTGTTGGAATGGAACATACCTGGCCATGACCTCACTTCACGAATAAGGATGAGGGTATTGATGAAGGTATTGTGAAGGTTATAAGTTACATACTTAAGTTGGAAACCCAGTTCACAGGTGGTAATTAGGATCAACTGGCAGATGTGAAAAGCCAACTTGAACGCCTTTTTTTGTGAACACCAGGGTCCGGGAACCTGAACATCCACCTGATACCATCTGATAACCTGATCCTGATCCCAAGCTGGCAGGTCAGCCATTGTTCCGTCATCGATGGCTGCGAAGCTGCTGGAGAACTAGACATCGCCAAGGAAGTTTTGTGCCTTGGCTCGATGCCAATGAGCTGGATGTTGCAGGGATGCAGGATGGATGTTGACCTCCAAATCATCCAATCCAAAGATATCCAAAGGCCAAGTAGGCAATGGCTTGCCAATGGCATGCCACTGGGGCGACACAGATTTTTTGTTCGCCGTGCTGTTGAGCAAAGGTGTAGGGGCCCTTGGGATGTATTGGGCATTGCTGGCCTCAAAAGCCGATGCAAGCGACCGAAGAAATCCAGAAACACTGGCTTTCAAACATGCCAATGAGCCAATGGGCCCATGGGGGCTTCCAATTTCTGGCCAGCATGCAAGCCAATAAGATGCCTTTCAAAGGATAAGCTTTCAGGCGAAGCATTTCGCAGGATTGGATGCTGTCCATGGAAGCCAATAAAACCCAAAGAAAAAATCAGAGCATCAAACATGTTAAGGTGATCTGATTTGCCAGCCTCCAAAGTTAACAAAGGTCCCAAAACAGTAATTTCCACCCTGCTGACTAGCATACAGCCAAGAGAGGAAAGCAATTTGGAGATATGCTTCCAGGGTTTGGCATTTCTAGCCTGAGATGCTATAGAATTTTTCCCCAAAACATTGCAGTCACATTTCACAGTCTTTCACATGCTAAGTGGATTCCATTTGCTACGTAACATGCAGGCCAATCTCTGGCGAAAGTTCAGTTGCTGGCCCAGAAAGCAGACACATCCAGAGGGCTTACAACTGCTAACTATCTACCGTAGCATGCAAGACAACACCTTCTGGAGGAAAAACTGTAATGTCTCAAGCATGTTCAGGGGAGTATGATGGAGTAGGCTTTGTTGGCCTACAAACCTGATCAATAGCTCCGGGGAAGACAGATCTTCAAACATGTTTCGGTGATAACAACACCCAGCGTTCTGTTGTTGTCCGTTGCAGAATTTTAGAGGAAGAAACATGCTTTTGCATGCTTTTGGCACAATTTGTAGATAGCGGCCATCTACAAGTCTAGAAACCTTACGTGTTGCAATTCTAGATTTCGTTTTCGAACCGCCAGATTGCCCCAATTGAATTCCCAAGAGAGATGTCTATGTGGTGGTTATACCTTCTGACTTTGCCAACACAGCGCGGCCTATTGAGCTTGACTTTTGGCAACAACCCGTCACTGCGGCGCAGTCTGTCAGTACGAGGGGAAACTGTGTGGTCCCATCGAGGGCGCAGGTCGCTTGGGCTTGGCTAGTGGCTGCTAGTGCGACGTTAGCGCCGACATTTGCGCCGCACGGCGCCGCGCCCGCAACAGCGGCGATGGGTAGCATGAAGGGGGACTGAGTTGGTACGTGAAGGCCGCAGCCTTCAAAGACCGTTGTTTTAGCGCCAAGACGATATGATATAGTGGTCATAGAGGTTGCTGTTTCGGCATTTGGGCTACGCATTTGCGGCAGTTTCCGTATATCCACTTGATAGGCGAGAACCAATTGATAGCACGTGGAAACAGGACGGGGGAAGCAAAGGTTGGCGAATTTATGATTTCGTTATTTGTGCTTGACTTTGCGCATGCGATTCAGCTCACCATTGGTTTTGGTCTGGCGTTCATTGCCAGGCTGCTGTGTTGGATGCATATGAGGGGGCGAGGGACAAAACAGTCCAAGGCAATCTATGATTGCAAACGGCTTCGATGTGACTTCCTTGATGTGGGCGCTGGGTAGGCTTGCAATGAAAGATGTCAGTCTCATAGCCCCCTGGCAAGCAAACACTAGACATGGCCGTCCAGCCTTGTGAACATGTTGGGGAGAAATTCATGCGGAGGGAAATGCGAATACTGTTTGATTATACTGATTGTGGGCAGTTATGTTCCAATGCTGTACCGCAGAGCTTTGCATTTTTGAGGGCGCCTGTTTGTCAAGAGCTTCGCGGCTTTTACTGTCCGACTGCTCGCCAAAGGACGCAAACACATGTAAGGATGATTGCATATCATATGAGCGCTGTGATATTTGATGTTTGTTTTCTACTTTCTTTACTGGCTGCTGACGTGCGACAGGAAGTGTCAATTTTGGCATGGTCATGTTGCATCCTTGGCGTGCGCAGCAACTTGCAATGTCGTTTGGGAAGGGAAGCGTTGGATTCTCGTCTTGAATGCAGCCTGCATAGTCCTGCAAGTTTTTTGTTTTGCATCCTTGTTTGAAGATGGGCGATGTCGATTTTCACCAAACACCAGACTCACAATAGGCTCATTTGTAGGTGCCCGTGGCCCAAAACAGAGCAACCCCGAACTCTAGAACAAACAATTTTTCATAATTTCTCTTTGTGTAGCTGAGCGGTGGTGACCATTGGTTTTCGGATGGGTTTATGGCACCATGCCCAGGAGCGAATTCAGAACTTTGAAACGGATGACCTTCTTCGATTGGCCTGGGGGCTGCCTGAAGGTTCTTTTTCCACTGTGCTAGTGCAGGTGGGCCAGCTAAACTGAGCCCAGGTGGCCCCAGTCCTGACATTTTGTTTCCACCTTCTGCCATCTTCTGCCATGGCTGCCATATGCCAGGAACGTGCAGCTCATCTATTGAAAATGACGCTTGAGAGACGCTAGATTGGGATATGTCGCCGACAAAATTTTGCCATGTTTTTCTACGATTCGGGGAGAAATTGGAAGAGATCAGCCAAGGAGATGGTGCATCAAATGGAACCCTTCAGCTGGTTGAAGATGTGCTTGGCATAGCTGCTGGGACTGAAAACCTGAACCCCAAACCACCCAAAACCGAACTGAACCAACCATTGCAACATATTGCAACACTTTGATGGAAATTGATGGAAAGTCGTTGCTTTGCAGATCTGAGGTGTGGAGTTCTGCCTTCCCTAGGTGTTTGAATCCATATTGCCTGGCCAAAATCCATGGGCTCCTGCGAGATCTGGGCCGACTTCTGGATGGAGTTGTGCATGTTGTGTCGGTCTCAGGGTGGAGTTGAGCAACTGAGATTTTCAGGATGAGTTGAAGATTCACACACTTACATATATATATATATCTCTCTCTCTCTACATGTATAGGCACCCAAGGCCCAAGTGTAACGCATTTTTTTTGATCCTTGGTAGTGCAGTAAAAAAGGCATCGCCTTTGTCATTTTTGTCGGTGAATCCCTCAGGGTGACCGCCCAGCACGGACGCTTGTGAAATCTGCCGAAGTGCCAAAGATCCTGATGGATTTGTCGGATAGGCGCAAGGGGAGAATGACCTGCTTTGGATGGTCATCCAAGTGATTCCAAGTGAGCCAGGGTGACCTCTCAAGCTATGTAATCTATATATAAATTTACTGTATTTAACATTGGATATATATATATATTATATATAGGATAATATAGTTTAATCCTACCCAATCATATCCAATCAATACCTATCTGATCTAATCTATTTATCCATCTACTTGTATCTAAGTGGGTTGTAAGCCAGTTGAGAATGTGATACCCTTCTTCAGTGGCTTTACTAACCTGACCATTGAGCATGTCCCGGCACGTCCCGACAGGCTGGTGGTCTTCAAGCCACCGGGTTGGGAGGTGCATAATCAGAACGTGCCACTGCAGTTGAGCGACTTTCTCCAGGTGACCCAGCAGACTCGTCTCCAGATTTATCCATCAATATCCATCAATTCTTACAACATCAATCCATGATTGGAAACACTCATGTTTCCATCATCGCTTTTCCATGATTTTGATATAATGCACATACATATACACGAGGATACACATATACAAGAATCATATAGAAACTCATAGAACGATGAGATACAACATGATACAGCAGTCATATCCATCACATCTCCATCACATCTCAGGCTGAAGTGCCCCTGGGTCCAGTCGCAGATGATGTTCAGCACCACCATGGTTTCCTTCATCGCCTCGACGTGCCAAGTTCCGGCTTGATCTTGGTGGCCAAAACCTACTCGGCTTACTACGACCTGCAGGCGCCAGATGGCGCCATTTTTTGATCGATGTCGATCATATACTGTTAGGCTGCGGCACTTAAATGATCTTAAATGTAGACTCTACATGACTCTACACATGGCCAATGTACAGTTGAGTCTAAACCGAGTACGCTCCGAGTTTCTGACCCTCATTTGTGGCCGATTGCAGCTCAGTGGACTAAACTGGCACCTGAGACTTGTGGCACACGGGAACAGATCTGAACAGGTGCAATTGAACTCGGGCGACATCCAGCGGGACTACCTGGCTTTGTGTCATGGTTGGATGCCTTCCTTAGAAGAAATTGCTGCAGCAGTTCAGGTCATTGAGGACTCTGCCAGGATATTGTGGATGTTGTGGGTCGACCTGGGTAGCCTTGGGTACCAAAGGGATCCAAAGGGGTACCTGGGTTGATGGATGATGATGGATGATGGCGAGGCCCAAAGCCACGGTATGCCACGGTCAGGATGGCCTTACAACTTGCGGGGCCGGGCGGCCTGCCCTCAGCCGAGTCAAGGCGGGAATCGCTGGATCCGGCTGGGATAGTCACTAGAATCACTAGATGTCAGATGTTAGATTCAACATGATGTCACAATATATCATCCAATAATAGAATAAAATAGATATATGCAGTCCAAAACGAATACAAAATGAATAGAATGATACACAATGCCAATTTGTTTCATTTTGTTTCTACATTTGTGTGCAATGACCATCTATATCTGATTAGAATTTAGATCTCGGCTGCGCACATGTCGAGGTGCTGTCGCAGCTGCAGATGGTGAGTGCCCGTGCTGCCTCCCTAGTGGCCTTGCGTTTGGGCTCGGGGCGGCGTCACCAGCTGCGCAGTCATTGTGCGCATGTGGGCCACCCCACCGTGACGGATGGCGCCATGCTGGAAAGTATGTTGGGCAAAAAATGTCAAGTCAGTGAAGCGATTTTTTTTTTGAGAAATGTCCGGGGAAATTTGGAGAGCTCTGATTCTGACAGTGGTAGCTGAGGGAAATATGCCACGTGGTCGACGTTGCAGGAAGATGTTGGGTCCTCAGATGAGGAATGATGAGGAATGAAAAGAATAAGGCCTAAGGCCTAAGACATCTTAAGACCCGAACCAGCCACAAGTCCAAGGCAGTTTAGCAATGTTTAGCATCAGCTCAGCTCATTCTGAAGATATCTGAAGATTCTGAGGTCAAGATTTGCCCAAGGAATTTCTTGCATCGTTACCGCTTGGCCTTCAATGATTCCACTGGAGAACGTCAAGATCTGATCGTGCCACTGCCAGTGTTTCGGCTGAACCAAACACTCAGCAGATCTCAGCAGTTTGCTGAATCTTAGGAGTCCCTGATTTTATGAACCATACTGACATATACTGACCATACTTTTTGGTTATCACGCATGGTTTCAGATCTTGCAGATGTTTCCTTCCATATCTCTCTTGGCATTTCAGCACCTGGCAGCAAACTTTGAGCGCAGGAAGATTTGGCAGCTGTGCTTCTGCAAGTGATGGGCAAGGATCATGTTTCAGCGGGCAACCGGGATTCCTGCATGGATGGGCTTCGGGATTGGTCTTTGCTCCTTTGCTTGGAGGGGGCATCCATGGGCCATGAGACAAGATGATAGAATAGCTTGGAATAGTTTGGAACCCAAAAACCACTGTCTCCGGACTATCTCCCCATATCTCCCCCAATTCCCCGACCATCCCGACCCTAGTTCGTGGAATACCCGCAACGAGCCTTGTGGCTCCCCATTTCTGCGATCATTCATCATCTCATGATCATCTCTAAGGTTCTCGCCGCTGGCGCCGATGTGGCAAAAAGAGGGGGAAAAAGGATGACCGCAGTGCGCCGCATGAACGCCGCATGAAGGCCGCAAAGTGTCCATCATCTCGTTGGATCACCGATCTCAGGAAGGAGTCCTTTGAAGAGGTGGAGGTGCAAGGTTCGGGTTCCGGGTTCCAGCTGACATCCACATGATTCCAGTACAATTTGTCAGAATATTATAGAAAATGACTTAACTGATGAATATTTAATGATATAGTTGACAGTTATTTAATCATATTTATTTATATGTGGTAGGGCTGATCCCGGATGATCCCCAATGGTCCTTCAATGGTAGGCTATGGCCCTGGTGGAGCAGCAGTGGTGGTGACAGCCTCAGGTTTGAAAACTGCCATGGAACCAATGTCATTCTCTACATTTCTCCATGATCATATGATTATCTGTACATATCTGTACCTTGTCCTCGGTTTCGGCTGTGACTTTGTCGTTTTTTTTGTCCAAGATCGAAGCGATGACGGACAACATGAATCGAACTCGTGCGGGCCTCACTGACAGAGTCTTGACATTGACACGTGGCCGATGTCGCTGCGGCAGGTAGTGCCATCAAGGATGCTTTCAAAGAGGTCAATGGCGAGGCAAGGCTCGGCAACGGAGCATGGAAGAACATGGCAGAACCAATCTTTTTATATGTTTTGATGCGCGCAATTTAGCATTCCAAATGCGAACAGCTGTGGCATGCTGTGGCTGGGATTTCAATTTGGAGTCCCTGGCGTCATCTCAATGTGCTTCGTCTATGTCGAATATGTCGATGTCTTTGTGTTCCTGCCGTATTCAGCTTTCACCCGAGCCATCTCATGAAGACTCCCCTGAAATGCACAAAATCAGGGGAATCAAAACTTGGCAAACACCTGAACAATCTGTCCGTTACACACAACTAGTAATAGCACACCTCGCCACACATCACCACAGACCACAAGTCACAGGGCGTTCGAACGGCCCCAGATTCCAAGATAACTGCGATGCTGTGACGCATGCGACCTCTTCGGAGAAGCAGCTGCTGCTTTCAGCTCATCTGCACAAGGTCGCGGGCTCTCAGCGCTGAAAGCGTTCTGGTTCTTTTCAATTAATCTTTTCATAGAACAGTGGGCTGAGTGGACTCCTCCAATATCTTCCAATCATCGGCACTGTACTTTTATCTTTTCATCAAGCTGATGGAGATCCTGAGTTTCTTTTCCAAAACACTTGGGATGAGAGTTGATGGGAGTTGATTGGAGTTGGAAGACTTTGGAAGGCACCGCGGATTTTGTGTTGCGACGGCCACCAGTGCGGCCTCGACGAGGCATGTGAGGCTTGGCGGTGACGCTGTGACATGCAGCATTTCTAGTGGCATGGTGAGTAAAATAATGGATATTTTCATCACCCGCATCAAATCCACTCACTGGTTGGCACTTCGTGCTTTATGAATTCATATAGAAATATATAGAATATTATAGAATATATTCAGTTCATATCTAGTGTTCATTATGTTCACCGTTCATTCCAAGTTGGGAAGATCTTTATATGATCATCTTCCAAGCACCGAGCAGAGTGGCCCAATGTGCCAAGGATCCCCCTGAATGGGCTGGATGCCAAGCTTCTGCGGTCTCCACGAGATGTGGGGCTCACCTACTTTGGAAAAGCAGCGGGGGCTGACCTGGGCCACTTGGCTACAGAATCTATCAGAATCTCAGTGCATAGCCGGCATAGCCGCACATTGTGAACTTGATGGAATTGATCGTCGCAAGGAATCCTTACAGAATTCACCCGAAATTCTTTGGAATTCTGTAGGTTCTTAGATGGGGCCTATCTTGGGACATATGTGACATCCTGCAGCTGCCTCCTTGGAGGTGCTGTAACTCCTGGTCATGCGGGGCAGTACTACCAGAGAGTCCTACCTGCTGCACAGGCTCCAATCACTTCCATTACCCACATCCTGGCACCATACAGATCATAGGGAAGATATGGGAAGATGCTGCAATCTATAGCATACCTTATCCATCCTTAGACACGTCCTGGAATAGCCTGCTGACAGTTGTGCTGTGGCACCAGTAGGTGCCTTTTGCTTCAACGGAGGGGCGGAAGCTTTTCAAGAAGGCTCTTCAGGTGGGATGTTTTTGCAGCTCATGGTGAAGGCTGTTGAGGGGATGAAGTCACCGATTTGTCACAGCTCAGGCTGGTACTATGGAGAGTTTCTTCTTCCTGGCGGAGCAGTTTCGGACCCAAGACGAGCCCACCTTCTGTGTTTCATCTGCACTTGGAGGGCCGCCGCGTTTGATTCTTTTCAAATCTTGCCACCATGATGTCACTATGGCCACTATGGCCATTTTGATCCTACAACTATGTCACATCCAATGTCCCTAACATTGAAAAAGACTCCCCAACAGCACAGAACCAGCAGTATACCAGCAGTATACCAGCAGTATACCAGCAGTATACCGGCATCATGCAGTGCGGCCAGGTGGATTGACCACCCTGGCCATGGTTTTAAACTCCTTGCGCATCGATCCGATGCGAACCTGGAAGGGCGCCTGGCGCTGGTACAACGAGCAGAACCTCGCCTGCTGCTTCGGCCCCGATGCTTCGGCTGAATAGGATGCCCAGTTGGCACACACGCCATGGTGCGCCATGGCATTCCGTGGAATCCGGTGATGTGGGGATCTTGGGATCCGACATGATCCAACATGATCCAATCAACAAACAGTTGTGGGAAAATCGGATCAAATTTAGACTGAGAATAATCAGGTGAAGTGCATGAGCTGATGATAGCTGATGGAATAATCAACCGAAACTTGACGGTGTAACTGATGGTTGGCTGCGCCCACATTGGCTTGGGAAAACTGTGTCGACCAATTGAGGAACGGGTTCGAGCAGAAGGTCTATCTTTTGAATCTTAGTTTGCACTGTCAACCAGCTGTGCGATGGGAAAGCAATTTCTGTGGGTCAAGTGCCTAAGTTTATATGTTTTTTGCAATGATTTCCCATGATTTCCCTGTACTTTCAGCACTTTCAATTTTCATCAGTTTTCCACATAGTGCTGCTTGCTCTGAGGATATGTTCTGTTCCCTAGCGCGTTGCAACGGCGCAGAGGCTGGTAGTTGTATGGCCTGAAAGAGTTTTGCACACCGGGGAATGCCTTGCACCACTTATAATAGCGACTTAACCCAATACTGACCGACATTGACCACGGATCAAAATCCAATAGCTTCACTGTTCACCAAGAATTCGGAGGATCGGCAACTGAATTTCATCAAATTTGTTGGTAGTGCCCCATGGTTTCCCCCCCAAAATTGGCAATTCATAGCATATCCCATAGGTCATCATACCATTCATCTGGGTAAATTAGATCACGACCTCACTGCGACCTCACTGGAAATCATGGTTTTTATAGGGGAATCACCCCCAAATGGCCTTAAGATTCTGGTGAGTAAAATAGTATAATTTACCCAGATTAATATTAATAGTAACCATTAATAATAACCATTAATAATAACCATATAATAACCATTAATAGTATAGTATATTACCATATTAACTAACCATCATAGCTGACCTCGGGGTATCGGTCCTGGTGGTCCCAGGTCGTGGCCCGTGGCGCCCCGATGGCCTCGGAGGACATCGCTGCGTTCATCGCAGACTTCCGCGGCGCCGTGCGCACGGTGAGTCGAAGCTGTGACAGGGAATGCCACCTGGATGCACCTGGGGAGATCCCTGGGGAGATTCTGGGAGATCCTGGAAAAATGCACTTTTTCGGAATATTGAGTGGATATCAATGGGGCATAGATTTATGATCAATGTTTATTGACATATGTATATATATAATATTTATATTGATTATTGATTGATCAAAATGTTTTAGTTGATAGTGACACTATAACATATTATCCAAGGGTTTGAGATGTTTGAGGCATAGCGGCATAGCATGGCATACCCAATCAGCTTTTCATGGGACATCTCCGTGACATCGTGGATCACTGAGGTTTAGTGGTGTGCTACACCAGAGAGGTTCTAGGCCAGACTGGTGCAGGTCATTTCTCGCCCATTGGAGGCAGGGATCTTTGTGGCAACGAGTTATTTTTCGACCCCATGCCATCCTATGCCAATTGTGCGAGGCTATGATGAGGAGACAGACAGCATCCTCATTATGGATGTGGCGCGTTTCAAATACCCGCCCCACTGGGTGCCACTCACCGATTTGACAGATGCTATGCTGAAGGCCAGATGGACCTTGTCATGGTTTTTGTCATGTCACACTTTTGTTTCTAGGATGTTACTCAATCTGGTTGGTGGTTTCAAGCATTTGTTATTTTCCATAACATATGGGATAATCCTTCCCATTGACTTTCATATTTTTCAAGATGGTTAAAACCACCTACTCAATGTTACTCACATCCTAATTGTCCTCCTATGTCCTATGATCGCCACATTCTGCAGATGGATCCGATCACTGGGAAGCCGCGAGGGTATCTACATGTTCACCTGCAGATGTGCCTGGGCAAGGTCATCACCATGTCAACATATGCCAAGCAAATTGAGATTCCATGTAGATTTTATGGGAGCTGTGGATTATAGCATTTTTATTATATATATATATTATGCATTTATAATATGTCGGAGAGCTAAGTGCATTTTATCCGTTTTTTTTTTTTGCGTTTCGAAATCTGGTGGTTGCGGGCTCAAGTATGGTGGAACAGTTCTGATAGACATTCGTTCACAACACCTGGGAGATCTTTCCGGAACGCCCCTCGGAGGCCCGCAACCTCTCAGGATTTGCTGGTAGTGTGGTGGACGTCCCAAGATATTCACCTGCCCATTTGGTTAGGTGGCAAGGCAGTGCCAAGGTTTGTTTCCAACGCCATATCACTGCCATGTTAACTACCGAAGTGATTGGTTTTCAAAGTTTGAAATCATACCCGTTTGAAGATTTTGAAGGTTCCTCAATGGTCCATTAAGAAATTTGTCAGACAGGTAAAGTGCCAATTCATGCCATGTGTTGGATATTTGTTGGGTGGGATGTTCCCTTGATATGATGCCTGGCATGGACTTTAGAAAGATGCTGTGCTTCCAGTTGTGGATCAGTTGAGGAACGCCTGAAATGCCTCACCTACTCATCCAGAGAGCTGCGCATTTTCCTGAGGCGAAGTGCTCTGCAGGGGGCGCCATTTCGAGTACCCTTCGTGCCGCCAGCGGCCGGACGACGTCTTTCTGAGGCTTGGAACAGCCAAGGGCGACCTCATCCAATGTTTGAGAAGTGTCAGGAGCAGGTTGCCTTGAAACTGTCGAAACTCTCAATGATTCTATGTGATACTTGGGTGATACCTGGATGTGATGATAAAACTTGGTAGGTCCCTGGTAGGTCCCTGGTAGGTGGTTCCAATGTAACGAATCACGCTAGAAATGGTAGAAATGCTGACTTCCTTGCGCTGATACGAGGCTTTGGCAGCGAAACTGGCTGACATCGACTCGGCGACGGGGGATCAGTGTCCCCTACCAACGTCAGATACACCGCACGTGGCTCGAGACCCAGTGGGACCCAGTGTGTTGACGATGCATTTGCTGAAAATATGCCAACAAAAATGCCATGTTTGAATCAACATCCCAGTCTTTGGGGATCATAGATGTCCTATGATGTCCTGATGGTCCTATGGGGTAACCCCCCCTTTACAACCAATGGTAAGTGATGATATGTGATGATAAACGGCAAAAACGAGACTAATGGGACACTGCCGTTGGGAATATGTAATGTTTCCACTGTTTCCACATATGTTTGGCATACATTCCACACATCCTCAATGGATCGGTGGGAAAACCTACAGACCTACTGGAAAACCTCAGGTGCCATGGAGAAAACATGGAAAACCATGGAAATAACCATGATTTCCTAGAGATTTTCCATGATTTTCCCGCCAAATCCATTTCTCCAGATTGATTTCTGGCCAAGGTGGCGATGCGGCGCTGGCTTTCTGCTGTGGCCGCTGTGGAGCCACAGGTTTGGGGACAGCTGCTGCAGATTGGAGACCTGGAGGCAGTGCAGGAGGCCGGGTTTTGGGATGGGAAGATGAAGCTACGGAAAAGATATGGAAGATCTATGGAAAACATATGGAAAAACACCCCAAGGGATACGACATCAGATGACATCATAAAACTCTGAAACTGTAAAACCAACATCCAACAGCAGATGGACTGTGATGTATATGAATGTATATGGTGGATATGACATGAGATTTATCGCATGGACAAATCCCAACGAGTCATTTGGTTGGTTCACTTTTGGGGATGTGGAGACCAAGATTCCAAGTGTTTTGGCTGGCCATGATACTCATGATTTCAATGTGAAGTTTGACTCCATAACTGGAGTAGCTCCGGGGGAATCATCGAAGTCAGCATTTCTTCCACTCTTTTCCCTGTTTCATCTGTTTCAATTATATATAGTAAGGTTGATTGCCGACAATGGCAGACAGAAAGAGAGAGAGATTGATCTTTTTGTTCGCATGATGCTTGGGGTTGTGGCTTTGGTATGGCTTTGGGGCTTTGGTGAATTTTGGTTTGCTGGGTTTGGACGTTATTTTTCCACTCCTGGCAGGTCTTTGCGCGGCTCGCTTCCTACCAGCCCTTCATGGATTTATGCAAGGCCGGACGCCGAAACTTGGCCACGGCACAGCCATGGATAATGGATGCCACCGCCGCGCCCTGTCAAGGCCTATGATGAAGCGACCCAGCACTTTTGTGGCGCAGAGTTTCCAAGCCTCCGCTTTCAGGCCAGCTTTTGCTGTGAATTTACTGAGATCAATGAGATCCCTCAGTTCCATTCTGACAAGCTTCAGCTTTGTTGTTGTGGTATGAGCAAATATTGCAAATTAGGGACATGCGGTTCCCATCACTCTGAGGTTTTCCATGAACTTCCAGAAACTATATAGGAATATGGAGTGATTGTATCCAATGATATGATGATTATGATGCCTATATTATAGGCCTATAATTACTGTATCAGATTATCACCATCACCATCCATCACCATGATGATTTTCACCAAGGAAATTCTTATGTCATCGGCCCTGAGGCGTCCCAACTGAGCACGCGGCGGCAGAACGGCAATTCAGCGGCTCGGCAGCAAGTTGGTTCACACCACCAGCTGAAGCCTCCACTAATTGGGTCACTTTAAATGTCTTTTAGTTTTTTTTAGGTAAATGAAATGAAATGAATAAAATCCATGCACAATGCGCACACACACCCATATATAAATCTCTCTCTCTCTCTCAAAATATCCCTACCCTCTTAAGAATGGAATTTGAGGGGGGTAGTCGTACTGAAAATTCATTTTAAAATTCAATTTTTGCAATCATGCTTTCTCAATGATCAATATTCCTCATCATTCCATGTCATTGGCAAGCAGATGAAAATTAAATACTTGCGCTGGCTCCGGAGGAGCCAAGCACATATCAGACTGAAGCAGCACATGTGTAGGGATGGCATTCCTCCAAAAATTGCGCTGCCGTCATCATACTTGCGCTTAGCTCCGGAGGAGCTAAGCGCAAGTATTTTCTAACCAGTGCCCAAGGCTTGTTAAGAAATGTTACTTTGCAATTCCATTTGAGGGGTTGGATCACTATCCCAGGGTTTCCAAGCAAAAAAAAGTGGAATTCAACAGCTTGGTTTTGTCCCCCCCCGCCCTCCCCCTCTAGAGGGGTAGGGATCTAAAAATATATTGTAGATATACATATATTACATATGTATAATTATGTATTATCATCTATTGCAATTACACGATGAATTCATTTACACCCTATTCACCACAACATTTGAGACTCACGTCCTACACAGCATTGCAGGAGCTAGCTCTCTGGAGCTGTGGAGAGCTTTGGGTCCTTTTGCTACTTCTGTTGCCCGAGCATATCCAGGTCAGGGATGATGGGATGAGGGACGCCGGGATATCCCCTCTGCCCGGCTTCGCAGGTGCTGGTATCGCCAGAACTGGCTTCAGCGGGCCTTGCGAAGGCACAGAAATGGGCCTGAAGGGGCCTGCGCTGCGAATATCTGTGACTTTGTGAGTTTTGCAAAATTTGGATTCTGTGCTTTCTGTGCTTGAAATGAAGTTAAAACAAGATGTGCGTAACGCATATTCGGAAATCCAACCAGCACTCGACTCGTTGCACTCGTCATTTTGCGTTGCTGCTAGGGCCTGGCTCGCACCATTCGCGGACCCTGGGCTTTGCCTCTGGAAGCGCAAAGTCATTTGGCAGCGTTGGGTGCATTTTGGAACATATTTAAAGCTGATTTTTTGGGGTTAAAAAAATGTAAAAAAGGCAACAGAAGGCAACAGAAGCAGCCAACAAATGCCAATGATGCCAACGGAAAACGTGCCAAGATGTGGCTAGGGTCCAACATGATCCATGGATGGATATGGATGGATATGGATGGATATGGATGGAAGTAGCTTCCCAAAGATGGAACAAATAAATGTTGTCAGGAAGGAAAAGGGTCTCTGTCCCATTGTATTTATTGCGCCAAAAACCCCAAGACCTCAAGATGGTTTTTGGGGCTGTTATCGCTGCCCACCAGGAGAGACGTTGAGCCACATCCTCCCAGTCCCGAGAGTTAGTAGAGCCCATGGCTGTGGTAGAGCCCAGCCGTGATTTACAGCGACGCTATGCGACGCTGTGACCGAAAGATCGTACAGACATGTACAGACTGAGTTCAACACTGACATAACTGGGGATGGGTCAGGATTTCAGATATTTTCAGACTGCACAAGTTGGTTCCTCTATCTTAAAATGGGATGGACCGATTTTGGCATTTCTGTCAAAATTCAGTGCCCCAATTTTGACCCAGATCCGACTATCGATCTGATTTCATTTCGCTTTTCCTCAGCTGCTCCTGAGACGTGCAAGCTCTGCCAACGAGCTTTCATTCCGTTCATTGATTAGAAGGGGAACTATGGGGAAACTGGTGATTTTTGGTGTTGCTGAGCCTTATTCCTACAGTTGGTTTTGGCATGTTTTAGAGCTTCGCTTCCGTCTCACTGTCTGTAGACTCTGTAGACATCCGTTGATGTGAATTTGTAACTCCTTCGCTTGTACAAAGCTGTGATGCCAATCCAGGCTTTGCTGCGTGGGGGTGGCCAAAACAAGGGCTGCAAGGAAGCATGCTGTGCTAATCTTTCAGAATCTTTTATGAATTGGTGCGATGACACAAGAGCCTCCGGAGTTATGATATTACATGATATTAAATTACATGATAATTACATGATAATTACATGATATTACGTTATGTCAGTTATGTCATCGCAGTTTTGGCAAGGTGAAGAATGTGGGTGATCACATCTTCAAACTCACTGGTTGCTGCCTTGCAAAGCTGTGAGGATTTTTTGGATCTGAGCTGTCTGAAGCAGTTAGACATGAGAGTTGCTGTATGCTGCCTGGGTTTCCGTCACTATGTGTCACTAGGTGTCGCCTTGTGCTGAGGTATTCTTGAGTTCGAGGGTGTCCCGGAGGAGAAGGTCTTTGAGGCCAAGAGCTTCAGTGCTTCTGGATGCGGTTGATATGGGACACCATGGGACACCTTTTTTTTTTTCATTGGACAGGTCTCGATGGAAGCAGAGGCCGATGTGGAGGACATCATTACCAGAGAGGATGGTGTTGTGGAGGCGGTGGGGCTTGGCTCAGCAGCCTGCTGTGAATTTGTGAACGAGTTCTTTCGGACACTTTTTGGCTTGCAAAAAGGAGAGAATACTGTACAAGGTAAAGATAAATGGCAAGACGGCAGGCATTAATTGCAGCATTCTATGCTTTCCAGCGAATGGTTTGCTTTCATCAGAGTTGACATGTAGCAAAGAGCAGCCACTTCAATGTTGCCAGATTCCAGGACTGGAGCGTAGCATTGTTTTACGTTTCACACTGCCACTACTAGTTCCATTCCTTCCATTTCGTGTCAAATTTTGTTCTCATATGAAATCATATGAACTTTCTTCACATCATCGTTTTTCCATTTCTATCCATTTCTCGTGAGTTGCCATGTTTTTCGCAGCTGTGCATCTCTGATTTTTTCCCATGGCGGCCACGGAGCTTCCCTCAGAGATCTCTGTCCCGCACGATGCCAGCTGTGGCGCTTGCCTTCTGGAGCTCAATGAAAATGCTGGAAATCAGCAGGCAACATCCATGAAACATCGCATTTTGGATGGCTTAGGGTCCAGAAATGTGGATATTCGTGGTTTAACATGGCATTCACGAATATGATATGTGTGTGAATCATTGATAGGATGGGATATATGACCAACAGCATGATCGGGTTTGATGAATTTGCTATTGACTATGGGGGGATGAACCAACAATATGAGGAGATGTGGGGATACTGTATTAAGTTTAAGTTTCGGGGTGTATCAAAGGATAGAGATTTAAACTGAAACTATAGATTGATGGGAAAAGGGATGGGACTGACAATCAGCAAAACGAATCAGGTGGGTTTGGGATGGGGATAGAGGGTCTGATGATGTTTGACCCAGAAAGGAGAGTCTCTAGTAATGTGAGCCCGCGTCAGCGTTTTATCAGGGTTTCTTTCTTCCCTTTCCTTAGTCATTGAATAGCTTCAAGTTGTTCGAAACATGTCCAGGAAGCATCAGTGGCAAGCCGCTGCAGCGACCGGTTGCGGTTGCGGGCCAAGCACATTGCAGCTTTAGAAGGCTGTGGGTCTAGAATCAAGCTGGATGTGGAATAGCAATCACTTGAGATGGGTTTCTAATGATTTTTCCGCAATCGGTTGGTCGTTTGAGAGAGCTGAAGGAGTCTTCGCGTCAGCAAGATGGATGTAACATGATGTAACCTCATGAAACGAAGTTGATGCAGATTCCCATAGATTCCCTGACAGGTTGCCAACACCTGTTCCATGTTCGATGCATTTTGGTGTGGTCCGAAGTGGAAAATTCCTGTCCTCAGTGCAGATCTCGTTTCCGTCGCTTTGGGGAATACAACGTGGTCACTGGCCAACTGAGAAAACTCTGTGAAGTGCAACAGAGAGATCAAGTAGAGCAGAGCTCATCGGAAGAAATCATTTGTGACTCATCACTGATCAGTGGCTGATTTAATGTGTCTTTTTGATCTTAATTTTCCTCACCCCCCACACTGTCCCAACTTTTAAAGATTATTACCGTATCACATGTATCGCGATCATTCCAATCAACAAGCCTTTTTTCGGATGTGGCAGCACGTGGCACCACCAGGCGATTTGTGTCACCGCGGTGATGACGATGAGTTTCTACTTCTCTGTGATGGTCGTCAGGGACGTTGCCCTGGAGCCTGCCACAGCTACTGTGATGGCTTGGGTCGTCAGATTCCCCGCGGCCGGTGGCTGTGCTTCGCTTGCCGCCCCGCCCGGCAGCCCGCCCAGCCTGCCCGGCGTCCCAAGGCAGCGGCAAAAGGTCGAGGACGGCGAGCGGAGCGTCAAGCAGAGGCCCTGCTGAATGCGACCATGGCTGTGAACCAACTGCCGGTGCAACCGGCATCAGCTGACTTGGTTATGTCGGATGCTGCGCATGGGACAGCAAGCCAAGCCTTGCCAAATGTGTCAGTGAAAGTAGAACAAGGTAAGGAAATGCAGCTGGGACATTCAGAACGCTTGCCAAAGCAGGAAACGATCCGACCAAGAGTCAAAAGAGAGCGGCCCGATGCCCAACCGTCCGGAGCATCTGCAGTCGATACTACCACGGATGGAGATAGAAGTTCTGCTGAGCCTGCGGCTCCAGAGGCAACAGTGCAGCAGAATGCAGCCATCAATAGTTTGGTCAAGGAGGAGTTGGAAGAGGCTGAGATGGAGAAGTTTGCCGGCTGGGATGTGGATGCCAAGAAAACGGACATGGCAAAGGTAAAAGAGGAGGCGCTACCAGGACATGCCAGGACGTAAGCAAGACATTTTTCTTCAGATGAATGCATTGACCAGAGAAAGATCCCAGCAACCCCCAGCTTTGGTGGTGCATAGTGACATATAGTAGTGACATAGTGGTTCATATTATTCAACATCTGGCATAAGGGTCTCAAGGAATCAGTCCAAAGAAGATATGGCATGGCTTCCCAATCTTCCCCCGCTCTCCGCCTTTCTTTATCAGGTGCCAGAGATGGCAGAGACCCGGCCGGTCTTTTGGAAGCTCCAGGCTACTCAGATGTCCATTGATCTCGATCTGGAAGAGGAACCGAAGGAGGAACCTGTGGAAGCTGAGGAAAAGCAGCCAGCACCGCGCAGCTTGGCACGGCTTGGCGTGTCCACGTCAGTGCTGCAATTTATTGACCCCGGCAGGATCAAGTCTGAGGTTCATAAATCTTGGAATATTTTGGAGACATCAATGCGTTCAAACAATTTCGCCCTGGACATGCCCGTGCTTCCATGCCTCAATGACAAATCTTGCTGCACTGAGTAGGGATCAATTCTTGTTTAAACAGATTGGGCGATTCCCGTATCTCATTTGGGAAGGTTTGCCTCATATTCACCACATTGCTGTTGAAAACTGAGGGCAACGATATCACATTCTCCAGCTGCCGAAGGAGTTAGAAGGTTGGGCAGAGCAGGTGCGAAAGTTTGCTTCGACCTACTTCCTCTGCGAGCGCTCGATGCCGTTGGCCAATCGAACTGCTGAACGCCTGTGGAAACTCTGTCAGATCGGTCCTTGCCCTGCAGGTTTTGATGGTGATGACAGTTGCCGCCAACTGCTAAACATCGCGAGGGACAGTTTTCAACTGTTTTGGCAGCAGCCATTGGATCCAGGAGACGATGATCCTTGTGGTCTCCGCTGTTTGCGCACCAAGACGCAGCCCCTGCTGTGCGTGCGCTACATGGGGCCCCGCGGCAAACGAGGCAAACTCCGGCCGTCGGACATCGTGCGCTGCGAGTTGCAGTGCCGTCGCCGTCTGCTGGAACTCTGGGACAGCGGCTTCTTCGATGGCGGTTTTCGGTCGCTGCCCATGGTGGAGTTGCCACCGGAGGCGAAAGCTGCAGTCACTCAAGGCGACATTCCCCGGGCCAGGGCAGCCGTAGCGGTTGATAACCTGGTTCAACCGAGGTCAAGGTTGAACGGGATGGATTTGGTGAATGCATTGAAGGAAGAATCATGGTACTTCAACCAAGCAGTTCATGTCAGCCAGACTGCAGCGCGGACAGCCCGCTTTGCGGAGCCCACAGCAGTGCTTCATCCCCTCTTGAAAGAGGTACTCCTGGAATCTCTTTGCAGTCGAGGCAGTTCTGCACTGGAAAACTCCGACCAGCTGAAATTGTATAGCCACCAAGCAGAAGCCATCGATGCAGTTCTCCTCAACAAACAGGATGTAGTGGTGAGCACATCCACTGGTAGTGGCAAGTCATTGGTTTATTTAACGGCAATTTTTGATGCCCTTTTGCGCCGGGAGGATGCTACAGCCATCTTGATCTTTCCAACAAAGGCCTTGGCACAGGACCAACTCCGAACTCTGAAAGATTTGGCACAAGCATTGACCGCCCGCGGGGTTCCTGAAGAGACACTTTCCATCGCATGTTTGGATGGTGATACACCTGGAGCAGAGCGAGCCCGAGTGCGCAAGGAGGCAAGAGTGGTGCTCACCAACCCAGAGCCTTGGCACATGGCACATCTCAGTGAGGCGGAAGCGGCTATAAGCAGCTTCTAGTTCAGAGTTTCAATGTGTACAATTATTTGTATATTATTGTATTGGTGCAATTCAGTTCTATATTCTCATCAAACGTCATGATTGTGACATGAACTTGTGAAGTTGTGACCTTTCCCGGCCTATCCCTGCACAGAGAATACTAAAACATACCTGCAAGTGGCAGATGAAGGTGGAAAGCCAACATGCTACACGAGGTCTTTCAAAGGGCAAGTTCCGACACATTCTGAGAAGTTGCAAAGTGTGGTGACGTGACACATGTTATTCAACAGCTGAGGACATGCTTCACAGCCATGTGCTCCCGCAACACATTGAGTACTCCCGGTTGCTCCACAACGTTTGCTATGTGGTCTTGGACGAGGCCCTTTTTCTTTACATGGGCTTTCCAAGAGCTAATGGACCGCACCTTCTTTAACCATCAACCCCAAGCCTCCATTTTTTTTCTCCAAAAAATATCAACAGTTTTGAGGAAGCACCCAAGGTGCCTGTCACAGCTACAGGTGCACGTCTACAGAGGAGCCTTCGGTGCCAATGTTTGCAGCGTGATTCGAAGGACTGCTGTAGCAGCGTGTAGCATATGCAACCAATGCAACCAATGCAACCAGAAGTATCACAAATTGCCTTTAGGCCTTTTGGTAACATGGTAGAGGAAAGCAATTTATTCTCAGAGGAGAGTCATTTATGAATTCGGGTGGTGCAGGGACTTTTGATTTACATGTTTGGTTAGATACAAACAACATGTAATTACTGTACCAGTAGTACCGTACAAGGCGGTGGCGGAAGTTTCAAGAATGGGAAACCTACAGGAAGGGTTGGTTGTTGTGACTCACGGATGGCAGAGCGAATCCACTGATGGACCGAAAGGTGGTTGGAGTTGTGTTTTCTGGAGTGGTTGCAATGGTTGCAGTGGTCACCTCACCACAACTGTTGGGTGTAGTGTGGTGTAGTGCAGTTGTAGTTGTAGTTGTAGTTGTAGTTGTAGTGTAGTGGAGTTGTAGTTGTAAGTTGTAGTTGTAATGTAGTGTAATTAGTGTAGTGTAGTTGCAGTTGCAGTTGTAGTTGTGGTGTGGTGTAATTAGTGTAGTGTATTGTAGTGTGCTGTAGTGTTGTGTGCTGTAGCGTGGTATAGTGTAGTGTAGTTAGTGTAGTGTAGTGTAGCGTAGCGTAGTGTAGTGTAGTGTAGTAGTGTATTGTTCACCGTCCTGGTTCGCGATCTCCTTCCTGAAGCCGTGTTCATCTTCACCCCTTCCGGCTGCGAGCATCTTGCCTGCATCCTGCCCGTTTTCTCCCTGCCATTTTCTTCTCTTGTCTCGCTCCGGCGACTTCAAATGCCACCATGCGGCATTCGCGTCGTGCAACGCTCCATCTGCAAGGTCTACCAGCTGCTCACTACTGTGTCTTGGCAATGCCTTCCTTTTTCTCCCCTTCTGCCCTTCTCTTTCCTTCCCCTTTTCTCCCCTTCTGCCCCCTCGCTGCTTCAGGTTATCCACGTCGCATTCGCTCTAGCTGCTGATTCCTGATTCACCGCTGCTTTGACAGAAACACGTCTTCCGCATACCACTTGTGCAACCAATTCTTTTTTATCTTTTCTATTTTCATGTGTTTCATCCTGTCGCCAGGTACCTCCAGTGCATGCGCCATCGACACGTCGTCCCGGTGCCTTGGATTCAGCTTCAATGTTTTTCAGTGCATGCGCATGCCATCTTTGTTCATGCCACGCATGTTATCCATGTCTTGCCTTGCCTGGCCCAAGCAACGTCGTATTCACCCATGATTCTGCGCCTGTTTCGATACACCAAACATATCTTCTTCGTGTTTGATGTTTCTATACGCATGTTTTCACATACCTCACTGATCTTGACTCCTTCTTCTCTTTGCCGCTATGGCTTCCGCAGCAGAGCCGCCTCACCTGCAGGATGATTCCTTGCTGGCAAGCTGCCTGACAGATTCTTTATCTGAACCGTTGACTTGGAACCAATGGCAGAAATCTTTGGCAGCCTTTACTCTTCGACTTGCGTTGCAACCATATCGCACCACCGCATCCCAATGGCGAGCCTTCATGAAGAAGCACTTCGGCGGCGACTGGCATCTACGCCTGGTCTCCTCTTGCCCTGACTCTGCTTCAGATGCAGCTGAAACCATTTTCCGCACTCGAACTGGCACAATCGATCCTTCTGACCATAGCCTTGCTCTCTTGCCCCTGTTGCAGCACCCTCTCCCTTGGAACGCATGGCAAAAAATCCTCGCTGCAGCATGCGCACCCGCCACCCGCCCCCACCTACCCCACTTATTGCCAACAAATGACCGGCACTTTCGGCGCTTCTTGGCGCCAAGCCATTCCCCCCCAGCATGTCACTGCCCTCGTCGCCTCTAAAACATTGAAGCTTTACCTTCGCCAGCGCCAGCCTCCACCGGCACACAAGAACGCCCGACCGGCTCGAAGAAGTGCCTCCAAGGTGATCAAGCCCATGCTGCGCAGACACCTCCAAGCCACTGGCGATGCCCTCCACAACCTCGCTTCTTACCCTGCTCTTCTCCAAGATCCGCATTTTCTGTGCGCAGCCAAGCACTTGCAAGCAGCTCAAAGAAGCTTGTCTAAGAAGCGCGGCCGGCGCAAGCAGACCATTCCAACAGAAAGTGTTTTGCAGGGATTTGCGAGCGGAAGCAGGTTCCCACGGAGCCATGGCGGAGGAAATTCGCTTGGCGGCTGGCTTCCTGCAACGCTTTCCCGCTCTGAGCCGGACTCTTTGGCTCAGATTGTTGTGGAATGCCCTAATCATAATACATATGTACCTCAGGACACAGGCACTACTAAAGCGCCTGTCAGGGAAGGGCCTCTAGATTTTAGCAGGGGTGCCGCCCTCCCCTCTTCCTTCTTCGACTTCTTTCTTCTTCCGTTCCCCGTTTCCTTGTTTCCTTGTTTTCTGGCTTATTTTTGTTTCCTTCTTGAAGTTTCCTTGTTTCCTTGTTTCCTTCCTTGCAGTTTGTTTGTGTACCACTGGCACAGAACATTATCGAAATCTCATGGTCGGCCCCGGCACACTACCCAAACCCTGTGGCCATTCTGTGTCATGCCCTGCCGGGTCCCAAAACTATCTCTAAATCACGAACAAGTTTGCTATAGGAAAAATGAAAGGGTTTACGCCCATGAAAACGTCAGAACCTGTCAGGCCCCACGGCAAAAAGCATGCAAAACAAGACGTCGGAACATGCGTCGACACAATGTCCATTTTGCTTGCCCGACAAAGTGGCAGAACATATGTCAGATTTAAAACGTTATACATGGTAATATATGTTGAACAGGTCACAGAAGT